CATCACGCTACCTGTGGTTGATTTAACCAGTAACACCAAGAAGAAAGGCTTCCACAGAAGTTGAGGTTTTGAGTCCACAGAGCTTCACAGGAAAGATGTGACCGAGACGTTTAGACAAACGATTGAACAGAACAGTCAGAAGCTGCTGGTTGACGGGAAACGAGCACAAAAAGAGTTTGTGTTGATTGTGACATCAGAGTAGCTCACCTGAAATTCAAAGCCCTGCTCCAGGATCGCTGCTTACCCAACAAACAGACCCTTAGAGTTCATATGGGGAGGTGTGGGCAGACCCGCATGGTCTACGACAGTGTGGGACTTTACTGCCACCAGTTGGTATGTAGTACGCACCAGAATAATCGTCAAAAAGAGAGGCCGTTTTAGCTCCTCCCTTTTTTGCTGGAGGTCATCACAGAGCTGATTTTGGCAGATTTTTACTCCAAACACCAAAGCGTCTGAGTTTTTATCACGTCTGCCACTGCAGGAACCCTCAAACATGCACACACTGTTGCTTTGTTCACTGTTTGTGCTGTTTGCTGCACAGCTCTCACCGCTGTCTCCTCCCACACTCTTGTGGTTGTTGCACAAACACGTTACCGCACTATGCCCCTGCCCTCAAAGACATCACATAAAATGCTATAGAACAAGCAGTGTGTGTTAGTAGATGTCCTGACATCTTTCACTGTTCAGTATATCAGTCATATACAGTTTAAGAATGGAATAAGTTGCTGTCTCTAATCTGCATTTTTATGACAGTGACATAAAAAAATGTTCTCTATTTCATCTTCCCCACAATATTCACATTACTCTTTATCAGGTTCCCTTTATTATAAAGAGTTTGCCAGCAAACATCCCTGTGAACGCCCACAGTGGGCAGCTGTTGTTGAATAGGACAAACCACATGTGTTTTCTATGGCTTTACTATTTCTTGGGTGGTGCTGAGACTGTGACGTCTTCCTGCTGAACCTCCAAGCTTTGTTAGTCTGTTACCAGGGCTTTGTTATCTAGCCTTGTTTTTAGCCTGTCTGCTAACTGTCTGCTGCCCTGAAGCTACAGCTGTCTCTGGGCTTTACCTACTGACGTACTTTTACAAGATGATACCCGACAACTGAAGCAGGACCTTAGGATGAAGGACGAGCTTATCCTGGAGTTTTCATCTATGGCCACCACACAAGCTAACCACCTGGCTTCTCTACCCGTCTCAGTAGAGAAACCTGCTCCCCGTTCACTCTGTGCTCAGCCCCAGCTGCTCACAAACCACTTTCCACTGGAACCAGTTCAGCCACATCTACAGGAGGGCCTGTTGTCTCAGTCGATCTATCTATGTCTGATGAGATGTGACCGCTCCTCAGGGGCGAGGCCAAAGTCCAGAGTCTGCAACCTGCAACCCAGATGTGTGGGTGGTGGTAAAGGACAATAAGGGTGGTGCTCCATCTACATCCTCACTAAACCAGGCGCCACTCGGCACTGAGGAGGGGAATGGCTGACAGGGATGCCTCACTAACCTCACTCGTCAGCTGTGTCCTCTCCTGGGCTCCCTTGCCATTTCTCTTCCCAGTTATCTGGCTATAGTGCAAACACCTGCATGACACCCAAGGTGAGCATCCAGGCTTTTCTCTCTCGAGCACTGCTGCAGCTCCTCCTGTTGCCTCGACGGCTGCATCTCCAACCTCAAATGCTGTAGTGCCCCCGAGGTCCACATCATCTGCCATCTCCTCAAAGCCATGCCTGTCCACAGTGTGGTTGTGGGCACCTCTACGGTCCAACATGGTGGCCGTGCCTTTTGCTATTATGGCGCCTGTGTGGAGGATATTAATCCGACCGATCTGCAGCTGTTGAAAACTCACCACAAAGCCTCAGCACTAGTTGGCTCTAATGACTTTGAAAACTGTCAGTTGGAGACCCTCGAACAAGGTTTTGTGCACCTTGTGAAGAGTCTGCTGGACACCAGAAAGTCTGCTGGTCCTCTGCCTGTTTGGTTTTGTTCAGCCAGCTGCATCAGCTGCACATTTGGCTGAAGGGCTGCTGCAGGAATAAAGACAGTCCTCCAGCGCCCTGAACTTTGAAACAACCCCTTCACCCAAACCTCTGGGGTTCAATCTGGCCACAATCATTGAACTAACCTTTCACTCGTGTAGGACTGAGCCCAGACCAGCGTGTCGCCTAAAATCATGTTATTACTGATATTTTGTCACCATCACTACTAAACTGTGTCACGCCTGCTAACCTGCATAACCACTGATACCAAGACTTCACCTGTTTTCTCAGTCGGCCACCTCTTTATCAGTTCCTGCGATTATAAGGAACAGAGAGAAAAACTCCAGTGTTTTCCATAGTTGTGCACCCAGACTCAGTACTGACCTGCACTGTGATGGAGTCTTTATGGTGGAGGAGCACCAGTGGTCTAAACCAGCGGTCCCCAACCTTTTTTGCACCACGGACCGGTTTATACCCGACAATATTTTCACGGACCAGCCTTTGAGCTGTCGCAGATAAATACAACAAAATAAAACCAGTACCGGTACCGAAAAAAAGAAGATTTATTCATAACACACGTGAAAAGACCCAGGAAAACCGAGTAAACGATCAAAACGATAACAAAATAACGCTGAAAACCGATAAAACCCTGAAAACCAGACATTTCACACCTGAGCCTCAACTCTCGTGGCCCGGTACCAAACGACTTACGGACCGGTACGAGGCCCGGGGGTTGGGGACCGCTGAACTAAACTGTGTCCCATTTAATCCTGGTTCTTTTAACTCCTTCTATCTCCTTTTATCTCCTCTGACCTGTAAATATTTATGTTGATCAAATCATTTAATCTACATATGGATGATTTCTCTAACTGCCCTGATACAGAATTTATTAACATTAAAAAAATCATTTTACTTACTGCGACATGTTACCGGCCCCAAACACCAGATCTGGATTTTACTCTGTTTATCTCTAAATTCCCTCCACACGTCTGACCTGCGATCACACATTCATGCTCTTTGACACAGTTCTGGATCCACTGTTGTCTAAATCTCACATCTTTGATGAGCACTGGGGTTTTCTGCTCTTTTCTTTCCTGACTGCAAAGTCAGATTAGTCCCAATCATCACATCTGTCAACACAAAGTGCAGAAAAGCTGAATGTAGATGGAAGAAGCCTGATCTCCGTGTTCATTCTCCATATAAAGGAGTTATTGATCACATCTAACCAGCTCGTCAAAGACGTGAAAACATCTCATGTTTGATTAAAGAAAACAAGCTCGGGGTTTGTGTTTGACGCCATCAGCAGATTCCTTCATCCTCCTCATTCTGCTTTCACTCCCACGTCTTCAGATGCTGTGAAACGTTGCAGAGCTCGTCATGCTCACCTCATCCTGTCATGACATCATCTGTCTGATAAATCATCATCTGACTGCATTCCAGATTATTAAAGCAGCCGGTGTGTTTGCTCTGCTGGAAAAAACAATCCCACTGTTTCAGATGTTTGATGGCCGATTTCCAAACTTGTTTATTTCCAAAATCCTTTAAAAGCTGTTATTCATCAGCTTCTTCAGATTGCTGGAGGAAACATCTTCAGTAAATTCCAGTTACAGGCAGAAACACGGCGTTATTAAAGTTACTAATGATACTTCTGCACTCAGAGGTGAAGACATTTGTTTCCTGCTCGACGTGTCTGCAGCCTTGTTGATCAGGCTGCTCATCGCTGCTGCTCTCAAATGCTTTTCTTCACTTTATCAAAGCGATACTTCAGAATTCATATTAATCAGTGTGAGTCCTCGTCTGCACCGCTGCTGTGTGGAGTCCCGCAGGGATCAATCCTTGGACCAGTTAATGGTATCAGTGAATTCTCTGTTGCTATGCAGATGACACCCACTTATACTTTTCTGTCAGCCTCAACACCGACAGCCTCTCCTGCCTCAGGGAATCCTTATCTGACGTTGCCACAAATGTCAAAGCTCCTCCAGTCTTATTTCCTTCATCTCAGAAATGTTGACCAAAGTGCTGCTTTCATAAAGTTTGAATGCAAAGAACCCAGCAGTCTGTCAGTGATGTGAACATGTGCAGCTCTGTGAGGCTTTCCAGGACTGTCTGGAAACGTGTTGACTTCCTTTGTAGATGATCACGTCTTCACTCTGTGACAGCGTCTCTTTACTGCGTGTTTCTATTCTGTGTTATGTTCTAGCTTAAACTGCCACGTTTCCTTTTCTGCTTCCTGTTTTTCCTCTCAGTGCCCACTGCTGTGGCAGACCTCACATTTCCCCGCTGTTAGCTCAGTGTTTCCACCACAGTCTTCCTCCTGCTGCTCATTCTCTAAAGGCCTCAATATCAGCACTTTTCTCTCTTTTGCGTCTCAGCAGCATCTTTGTACCAGAGCCTGACCTCAGCCCACAGCTGAATTTACCTCCCTGCTGATTTTGTCTAATCAAACAGAAGAGCTTAGACTGTTCTGTGTTTGGGTCTGTAAGACATAACAGATAAAGATCTCCTTAATACAGTCGTTCAATGGATTTGACCAGAGAAGCCCCAGTAAGTAAATAAAATTGTGTTCATATGGCACCTTTCAGGACAGCCATCACAAAGAGCTTAAAAGAGAACTAAAGGCAGGTTTAAAAAGATGAGTTTTTATTTGTTTCTTAGACCACTGAGTCCACGGAGCTCAAACTCAGAGGGAGAGAGCTGCAGAGTGTGACGCTGTGTCTCCTTTAGGTTTCAGCCTTGTGTGATGTAAGCAGACCATCATCTCCTGCTGGAAGCTGCTACAACCTGTAGATGTTCCAGCGAGTTTCTGCTTACAAATGTGAACAAAGGACTACTGTAATCCAAACATGATGACAGCAGTACTTCACTTGGCAATATTTCTCTTGTGATAAAAACACGATCGAATCAGAGAAGCCGACGTCATTCAAAACAGGTTTTTGTGAGAGACGGCCAATCAGAAGGAGGCTGGTATGGGGCGGGGCTAAAAATCAGGCAAAGCTGCTTCGGTAAAAAAGTAAAATTTGAGATGAGCAGTTTCATATTAATGTTCACTGACTGCATTAAAGCAGCAATAACCAGAGCTCTGCTGTCCTGATGATGTTCACTAACAAAAAGCAGAAAGTTAAAAACATTTTTCTTATGTTAATTTTTGTTCTCCATCAACTTTCGTCCCCAGACTCTGTACCGACTCCTGCAGTGAAGAAAGTGAGTGTGAGCTCTGAGAGCTGCTTCTTACTGTGTCGGGTGGACAGAGAGACCACACTGCTGTGGTTCAAAGACGAGCAGATGCTGAACCAGAGCAGCTCTGCGCTCTCTCTGTCTCTCACTGTGCACAAACAGGACTTCAACTCCTCTTACAGATGTGTGGCTGCAAACCCTGCAGAGGAGAAAACTCTTCCTGTCCGTGTGAGAACCACCTGTGGAGACACAGACGACAATGACACCAACAGCTCGACTGAACCAAGAAACTGTGAGATTATTTCCAACTGTCATTTTAAACATGTTGTTCACTGTGTTTGCTGACATCTGATTTCCTGTTTGACAGATAACATCCTCATTATAATCTTCTGTGTCCTGTTGGTTGTGATGATCATACTTGCTGCTTTCATCATCAAGTCAAAGTATCTTTCCCGAAACAAAACGAAGACAAACGGACAGGCACAAGGCAGGTATTTATTTTCTCTTTTTATTTTATTTATTGTATTTACTTCTAACCTCTTTGGAGCTTGTAGGTCTAAACCTTCAGATCCAGATGATATTAGACAAAAACACATTTGAGTCCACTCAGCTGTAACACGTCTGTGTTTAAAACCCCTTAGCAGTCCAATTAGTCCCCTAAACCATCCAATGTACCGTGGGCGGTACGTCCGACTGCTAACAGGTTAACTGTGGTGTGACTGACTTCAGTAGAGTCTTTGTCCTGTTAGTGGAACTATGAGCTGCTGCCAGCGCATCACTATCAGCACTAAGATGCTGCCGGCTCGATGCTGCCGTGTTGTGTCACAGAGGATCTTGTGGTTGAGCTGCTTCAGTAGAAACATGCAGCCGTCACTGTGAGCTCTGTGTTTGATCACATCTGACTAAACCTGACGAGCCAAGCTTGGAGCAAAAGTTAAAGTGCATTTACTCTGTGGGAGGTTTTTATGCAAAATAATGAAGTCATTTAAATCTCCATTCCCATGTAAACTGCGTGTTATATGTGACAACAGGAACTGACTGAAAAGAAAGCAAACACGTACTGAAGGTAGACCTCTGTTCACTTCATAACTGCAAATGTCTCTGCTCATTAACTCCTTTGGGTCTGTCGTCGTTTGTCCTCCTGAGAACAAAAGTATTGAATCCACTACAGAGGACGTAATGAGCAGGCTGGTCTCAGGAGGACACGGCCCGCTCTGGACTCAAGTACTAAAAGCAGGATGTGGGACTCTGTGCGGTTGTGTGTCGTGGTCGTGTGGTTTTGTTCCAGAAGCTCCGGGAGTTTCATTGTTAAGCTAACGTTTGGTTTCCTGTATCTATTAATACTGAGAACTAATCCTCTTCCTGTCTGCGTGACTTGTTCTAACTGTGACTTTCATGTCTTGTGAGATTATTGGGTCACTTTCAGTGTCAGAGTTAAGTGTGATGATATTCTGGTTTCCTTCTTTGTTTCTTTCCCGTTTCCTTCCCTGCAGAGTTTTCAAACATTATTCCTGTTTTCCTTTTTGACACAGTCTTCTCATGTTTAGTGTTTTTATGTTCATGTCTTCCTGCTTCAGTGGTTTTTGTCCATGTTTTACTTTGTAGTTCTTTCTTTCTACAGTCTCATTGTGTCACGGGCTGCGACGGCAGACCGTGGAGTTGTAGAGAAAGTAGGGCCCAAACGCGAGACTCTAGTGAAGGACGGTGGATTTATTTATGGTGAGTGGACAGAAACGACAACTATATACAAT